CCAGCGCGGCCCCAGCAGCCGGCGGCCACGCTCATGCTGCGCTGTCCGCGCTGCTCGCGCTCGCCGTCCGCCTGGCTCTGCGTCCGCTCGTGCCGGAGACCAGCCCCGCCCGGCTGCGCCGAGATGGTGCGGAGCAGGTGGTTCCGGGAACGCAGGAAGTCCCCCGGGCCCGGCAGGCCGAAGCTGCCCTTGCGGAGCGCCATGCGCGTGGCCGCGTTGCGGGCCGGCCGCGCCCGGTGGTTGTACTTGAGCTGCGCCAGGTGGGCCGCGTAGCCATCCGTGATGAACTGCGGGCGCGGGAACATGGGAAGTTGTCCGGGGCGGACGGCTGGGCCCTCCCTCCCGCTCCCCTGCCCGCCTGCCGCCCCTTCCCCACCTGGCACTGGTGTTGCAGCTTCTTGGTGGGGCGCCCCACTATGTAGATTTGCATGGGGGACAGGCTGATGGCGCTGTAGACGGCCACGTCCTTGGTGGAGCCGTAGGCTGCATGCACGCGCAGATGCAGCTGTGGGCAAGAGCAAGTGGGCCAGGGCCGTGGCCGGCTACCCGCCCCCCACGCGGCCAGTACCCACCTCCGAGATGAGCAGCTTCAGGAAGTTGGCTTTGTGCCGAAGTGGGTCATGCACCAGGCCGTCACAGAAGGACACCACTCCGTGGGGGAAGTTGTGCTGGGCCAGCCAGGCTACCACCCTTTGCTTCTGCATGTCTGGCCGGCCAGTCACATAGATGATGAGGTAGCCCAGGTCCTGCCAGTGCCTGCAGGGAAGACAGCCTGTCCCATGTCGCCCCTTCTTCCTCCTGGCCTCTGTGCCCTCCCTGATGTCCGAGGGGTGTGGCTCTGATGAGACTCAGCCAATCGTGTGACAGTGAGATGATGATGATGATGGTGGGAACAGAGGCAGCCATCCCTTCTGGGGGCTCCCAGGGCGGGGTGCTGCTCCAGAGGCCCCCACCTTGCAGCATGGTTAATCCCCATGCACAGTCCTGTGCAGTGGCCGTAACAAGTCCCGCTGGAAGCCAGCTTTACACAGGAAGGCCAGGTCTACCAGAAGGTTCACTGACCACCCCGAGGTCACACAGCTGATTGGTGACATAGGTCTTCAACCCCAGGCTCTGTACTTGAGGTCCCTCTGCTGTTCCTGGGGAAGGCCCACCACTCAGCTTGGCACCCAGGAGCCCTGCCTCAGCCCTGACCTTGCTCCCCTGGTACCAGTGCCTACTCACCGTACCACGTCCACAGCCCCGGCTCGCACCTTGGGGTCACTGCCCATGATGGACACGCTGGCGGCAAAGGAGCCGTCAATGCTGAAGACCACGAACTCCGTGCCCTTAGGTAGCACGGTGATGTAGCTGTCGGCAAATGTGTGGTCCCCCCTAGGGAGGGGCTTGTCAGGACCACCGGGGCCTGCCTGCCCCCCCCCCACCTGCTGCTGCCTGTCCGCTGGCACCTGGCCACCACCTTGATGGGGCAGACACCCATGGCCAGACGCCTGGCTCCTGCTCCCAAGGCCACCCTGCCGCCCCACCCCCAGTACTCCTGCCCGCAGGTACCTGACCACCATCTTGATGGGGTAGACACCCACACCCAGGCGGTGAGTCTCAGGGAGAGTGTAGGAGACACGCCCACTGTTGTTGGTCACCAGCGTGTCCAGGTACAGCCACTCGCCCGAAGGTGGCTGTGTCATGATGTGTACATCCACCTGGGACCAGGCACACTGTCACCAGACGCCCAGGCCCCTGGCTGCCCTGTACCCCAACTGGAGGTGCCCCATGTCCTGACCTTCTCCCCAGTCAGGGTGACCATGTCCAGGGGCCCGTACATGAACCGGCCGGTCAGGACCTGCGGGCCGTCCTCATTGGCCACTGCATCATTGATCCGGTGATTGGCTGTTACGTTCTGGGGAGGGGAAGCAAGGTTGGGGCAGGGTGGGAGCAAAGGGGCGGCTGGGGTCTGCAGTAGGCTTCAAGGCAGGCAGCCCAGGTCCAAGTCGGCTCTGCCAACCTGGCTGCTGGCCTGGGGGAAAGGAGGAAGCCTTGTCGCACTTCCCCATCGGGAAAACGAAAATGGAGTGACAAGCTCCAGACGGGGGTTAAACAACAGCATGCTTCTCTGAGGCTTAGTTTTCCCATCTGCAAAGTGGGGCACTTCAGCGGGTCGCCCACAGGCTGCTTGTGGGGCCTGGTGCCCAGTGCCCCCTCACCCGCAGCTTCACATGGGTCCTCTTGCGCTGCCACTTCTCCCGCGGCTTGGAGGGGGTGAACACCGAAACCTCCTTGCCATCCAGCTCCAAGACGCTGGAGCTGTCGTGCCGCATGACCTGGGGGGGACCAGACAGCCCTGGGTGAGGCCTGCCCTGGGCCTCCCGTACAGGAGGGGACAAGCCCAAGCCATGGAGGGCCCTTCTGGTCATCAGGGAGGGGGCCCTGGAGTCCCCTGTCGGCCTGGGCAAGCCTGGTCAGGCCTATTACCTGTCTCAGCAGGAAGGAGACCACGTCGGTGGACTCCCAGTAGCTGGCGTGGAAGAGGTGGGGTAGGGCCACCGTGGGGAAGGCCGTTAGCGCATCTGGGCAGTACAGGGCGTAGTCAATGCGTTTCTGGCCCCACCACTTGGCTGCAACTGCCGGAGGAGGGGCTGTGAGTGGGCCGGGTGGCCAGCGAGGCCAGAACCTGGAGGTCACCCAGCTCAGTCCCTCCCTGCATCGGGGTGGCAAGCCTGCAGCCAAAGCACGGGGTCTTCTCCCAAGCTGGTGACAGGGAGCAGGAGGGAGGGCCTGGGGTGGCAGCCCAGGCACCAGCTTCAGACTGAGTGCCTGAAGAGGAAGACTGGAGGCAGGAGGATGGGACCTCCTGTCCCGTCAGTGACCCGGTGACCCTACCCCAGGCCCCATTGCTGTGCTGGCTGTGAGCCTCACTCCCCCCACTGGCCCCCCAGGCCTCACGCCTGAGGGGCTTTCAGTCCTGGGGTGCTGATTCCTGAAGCCCAAGGCAAGGCTGCCCAGCAGTTGGGCCTCTGTTAGGCGAGCACTCTCTCTGAGCTGGTTGACCCCAAGCCTATGAGTGTCCGGTGAGGCCAGTAGCCTGGCCTGGGGCTGGGCCCCGGGCTGTTCTCCCAGCCGCTTGTCCACCTTCCTGGCCTTGTTCAGCCCCCACAACTCCAGCGGCTCCCACTTCCTCCCGGGTAAGTCCTTCCAGCCCAAGCCCCAAGCTCCCTGGTGAGGCGGCAGCGGGTCAAGGTGGGCAGTGAGACGTGCTTGGAAACGGTGAGTGACCCCACGTGAGGGGAGGCCAGCACGTGTGGCCGGAGGGCGGCACACCAGGTACCTTTTCCGATGACCAAGCCTGGGAGGCAGGGGGCCTTCTCCAGGCTGGGGCTCAGCTGCCCGGCCTGAGGGTGGGGGCCGGGGGGTGTGGGGTGTGGGAGGGGCAGGGTGAGCAGGGACAGGCGCCTGATGCTGGGGGTGTGGCTGAGCGGTACTGAGGCCTCTGAGGAGCAAGAACAAGGGGCCGCTCAGCCATTGAGGGACCACCACCTTCACGCCCCTCCCTGGTCAGGACAGACCCCGGCCACAGGCACGTGCACTTCACTTCAGCAGGCAGCTGGCGGGAGCCGTCTGCCAGGCAGGAAGCTGGGCGGATGGCAGCTGGCCCCCGTGGGGAGCGAACAGCGGCTGTCTCTCGGGACCTGCCCTCCAGCTGCTGGGGGCCTCCTGGAGGTGGTCGGCTCGGTGCCTCGAGGGGGCACCTGGGCTTGGACCTCGGCTTGCTTGTCCACAGACAGCTTTACCACTCGCTCCCGCAGGCGGCACCCTGGGGACCCGGCCCCCCTCGCTGGCTGGGCTGGCCCTGCCTCGCCCGCCGCCCCTCCTCAGCCCCTCTTCTCCAGGGCCCTCACGAAAAGGTCTCGCCCTGGGCACTACTGGCGGGCTGGGCTGGACCAGCTGTCGGGGGCTGTCCTGAGCACTGACGGACGCCCTGGTCTGCCCACCAGATACAGCAGCAGCCCCAGCCCAGTCGTGACGACCACACACGACTGCAGACGGTGCCGAAGCTGCCGGGGGTGAGCTGGGCTGCTTCCATGGTGCCCCCCGCCCCCCCCCCAGTAGTTCTAGTACCAGGCGCTGCGCAGGGACCTGGGCACTATGAACTCACTCTGGGCGATGCTGGAGGCCGTGTAGCTCTCGGCCATGCCCGACACCTGGCTGGCGATGCTGATCTCGCTGGCTCGGCGGAAGCCTCGGCTGGGGAGGGCCCTGCCGGGCGAGGAGGGGGCAGCAATCTCTTGGAAGACGGTGGTGTGGGTCTGGAGAGCGTCTGCTGCAGGGGGCAGGGACCGGAGACCAGGGGTCAGAGGGAGGAAGGGGGCCCAGGAGCTGGTGGGCTGGAGCCCAGCCAGGCCCAAGAGCAGTGTCAACTGAGCACAGTCAGCAGTGAGCACGGGGCCCAAGTACATTGGGGCTGTGAGAAGGCAGAGCACAGGCTGAGGCCACAGACAAGGAAGGAAGGGAGGGCCGGGACACAAGTGGACAGATGGACTGACATAGACAAGCAGCGGCAAGGCAGGCGGCGGGGCTCCCCACCCCAGCCACCCTGCTCATCTCGAACACAGCTAGCTCTGTCTAGTCCTCCGCGGCCTCCAGGCCTAAGCCTTGCCTGGCCTGAACCACAGCGGCCACATCAGGTGCTAAATAAGGGCCTCGGGCAGCTTCCAGTACTCCTGCACTAAAGCTCAGAGTAACGCTAGGCTCTAGACCTCCCTCCTCCAGGAAGCCATCCTGGAAAGGGCACTGGGGACAAAAGCAGGTACTGCAGGCTCAGGGCTGAGGACAGGGCAGAACAGGGAGGTACCTGCCATCCTCAGGGAGGGAAAAAGCAGGACCCAGAAAATCCAACCCACTCGACACTGGGACCGAAGGCTGCTCCCAGAGTGACAGGGTGGGGCTCACCCCGCCTCTGTCTGCACTGCTGCCTCAGGAGGTGGCTCTGGGCAGTCTCTCACCCTCTCAGGGCCGTGTCCCATAAGGTTGACTTGGGTCTGACCCACAAGTCAGAGGGAGGTAGCCCCAAAACCAACCCCCCCAGGCTGGTCCTTCCTGGGCCTGCTCCTCCCACCAAGGTCTCTCGATTTGCACTGGGGGATCTGGGTCCCTGAGCATCATCCAGCCCCCATGAAGCAACACCACCACCACGGGGAGGGGAGGTACACACACTCAGCACAGCCCGGGCTCTGGCGGGGGCCGTCCTGCCAGGAGGGCGTGGGCACAGGGATACTGGTCTCCAGGAAGCCGTCCCCGGGCGGGAGGGGGGCCAAGGGGCCGCCCTCCAGGACCAGCTCGGGGTGTCGCTGCACGCTCTCGACTGGAAACAGACGGAGGGGGGAGAGAACAGGACAAGAACAGACACTTGTGTGGGCGCCACTGGACACACAATGACACATAGACACACACACACACACACACACACACGGCTGCTTCTCATGGACCCGACGGATGAGGTGCCTGGACACACGTGGGCCGGGTGGACGGGCTGATGGGCACACCTCCCACAGCTGGCTCCACCATCCCTCCAGCTCCGCCATGGGGGAGGGCAGGGGCATGGGGTGCACAGTGGGCTGGGCCTTACCCAGCAGCGTGGAGCAGCCGTCCCCCAGCGGGTAGCGCTGGTAGCGGGGGATGCTGAAGGGCGGCAGGGCGTGGAAGCGGCGCTCCAGCAGCGGCTCCAGGCGGGAGGCCGACGGGTCCGCGGGATGGAACAGGTTGTAAACTTGCTGGCAGGCGGGCCGCAGCTGGAACACTAGGGGGCAGATTGCAGAGCCTGGAGATGATCCGCCCCAGTAGGGGGCACAGGGTGGGAGAAGGACATGAGAGGGGTGGGATGGGTGCCCATCGAGTCTGTGTCATCCATTTGGAATTGGTGTGGGTCGTCGTCCGTGGTGGTTTTTCTGTGGTCAGTGCCGTCGAGTGGATCTCAGCTCACTGCGACTCCCTGGGACAGAGCAGCACTTGCCCCATGGGGTCCGCTTGGCTGTAATCCTTACAGAAGCACAACGGGAGGTCTTCCTCCTACGCAGCCACTGGTGGGTTCGAACTGCCAACCTTTTGGTCCACAGCTGAGCACTTAACTGTGGTGCCACCAGGACTCTTTTGATCCTGTATTAACCAGCTATTTTTTTCAATTGAAAAAGTTATAACAGCCATGGTAAAGCTTTTTAAAGTACAGAGAGCACGTGACAGAAGGCGTGTATCGCAGTCTCCCTCCCACCCCAGGCCACGGCCTGTGGAGAGTGATGTTAGGTCCACACTGGCCCCGTCATGTCGGGAGTCTGGCCTACAGTTAAAAGAACGGGAAACATGGGGCTGATATTCACTGCACTTCACTAAGTTCTTAGGAAGATTGTGTGAACATAAGAATGTATGTGCACTTCACTTATCCTTAAATGAGTGTATGAGTCAGCGAGAAAGATGAAGCTCTGATCCATGCTACAACATGGGTGAACCTTGAACATACTATGCTAAGGGAAAGAAACCCCAAAACCCAAACTCATTGCCATCCAGTTGATTCTGACTCATAAAAAAAAAACCAAACTCACTGCCAAGGAGTCGTTTCTGACTCATAGCGACTCCCATTGTGTTTCTGAGGCTGTACATCTTTACAGAAGCATATTGCCCCGTCTTCCTTCCACGGAGCACCTAGCAGGTTTAAACTGCTGACCCAAAGGGTTCATAGTGGCCGCTTCCATTTATATGAGACCTCCAGGACAGGCATATCCATAGAGACAGAAAGCAAGTTAGTGTTCACCAGGGGATGGGGGGTTACTGCTTAAGGGGTGTGGAGCTTCTCTCGGAGGTAAAAAAGAAAATTCTGGAAATAGTGGGGCTGGTTGCTGCATATGTTGTAAATGAACTTAAAGCCCATGAATTTTGGGTAAATTGGTAAACTTTATGTTATGTAGGGAGCTCTGGTGGCGTAGTGCCTAAGGCATCTGACTGCTAACCAGAAGGCTGGCGGTTCAAACCCACGAGCCACTCCTCAGAAGGAAGACTGGGCAATCTACTTCCACAGTGATACCACCTCAGAAACACAAGGAGGGGTCCCTATGAGTCAGATTCGACTTGGTGGCAGTGAGTTTTTGAGTTTACATTATGTATGTCTTACCTACAGTAAGAAATAAATGTACAGTGAGGTGATCACATTTCTGTAAAAGAATTATTATGTACCTGCAGAATAAAATGGATAAAATAAAATTTCTTACATGGAAAAAATGTTCACAGTGGTTATCCTTGGATAGAGGGATGTTAACCTTTTTGTTCTTTTTGATTTAGATTGAAAACTTTTCTAAAATGAAAATTAAATACACTTTTTTTAATAAGAAAATTTAAAGTTTAAAAATACCCACAGAGGTAATTTTTGAACTTGGCTTTCCCTGTACCTAACGCAAAGAACGCTGTTAATTTTTCTCCCGGTGCGCGTGCGTCTGCCTCCTGCTTTCTCTCTTTTATGTGTTTCAATTTCTGGCCTCATTGTCTTTGGCAGCTGTGTGGGAGTCCACATGTGTTTCAGTTCTTGCTAGTTTTTCACAATTACAAAGAACATCTGTGCAATGCCGCTGTCCCAGTCTCTGGGCACTGGTGTTAGCATCTCTGGGGTCACATCCCCAGGCATGGAGTTGATGGGTGCAAAGGTTAAGTCCTCCAGGTGACCCTACCTGCTCATAATGGCACCAGTGGTGGTGGTGGTGGAGTTTGCATGGCTGTTGGGAGTCCTTTAAAGCTATAGACATCCCCCCGCAACAGTGATGAAGCCACCAGCTTGTGGTATGGCAGGAGTATGAGGGTCTGAGTTCGAATTTACTGCCACTGCACACTTGCTCTTGGTCAAGTGTCTACACCTCTCTGAGCTCATTTCCTCCTCTGTCATCTGGGGTATACCATGGGTCCTGCACGGCTGTCCTGAGGCCCGCAGGAGCCCCTGGAGCCATGCCGGGGGCCACAGGGCAGAGGGTGGGGACTGCTGAGCTGATGGGACACGTGGGCAGGGCATCTGGGACCCTGTCTGTGTCTTTCGAGGATCACTGGAAGAACATGGCTGTGGCAGGGAGGTCCCGCTGGCCCCACCCCTCTAGGGCTGCAGGGCTCTAGGTGGGAGAAAATGGGGGCGGGTTTGCCTCTCTCCCTAAGCCCTTTCCTCCCTGGACCTCAGCTTCCCTTCTGTGATGTGGGCCTACGCTCCCAGGGGCACCTTGGAGAGGATGTGAAACAGCAGGTGTCAGGAGTAGGGTGACCTACCTGCTGAATGGGGAGCAAAGAGCAATGGAATCTTGGCCTGAGGCCTGAGGGGCTGGGACCTGGTCATGGCCCTGTGATGGGGTCCCCAGAGACCCTCCTGTCCCCTGCAAGCTCTCACCATCCAGGGTAGGGATGACGGTCTTCCTCAAGGCCAGGACCAGCCCCAGCGGGCACCCGAACAAGAAGAGGTCGGTGATCTCAAAGTCGAACCTGCCCAGGGCGCCCGCACCTTCCAGCACGGCAGAGCTGCTCGAGCGGCGGGCACCAGGCTCAGTCCTCAGCACACTGGCGTGAAGGCTGCAGGCGGGCAGGGGCACAGGGTGTCACACCTGGACACTCCTGGGCCACCTTCCCTTGGACGCAGGCTGAGTGCTAACAGCCCTCGGGGTTCATCAGGTCCAAGTGCGGCTGACCCCAGTGCTATCCTGCCCACCCCGCTCTGGGCCGTCCTGACAGAGCCACAGTGTCCCAGTTCATTCTGCTCAACTCTGCCACCCCCAGCCCAGCCCAGGCATTGTCCACTCTGGCTCATAGGGACCTGGGTGTGGAAGACAATGACTGTACCCTCCAAGCCACATTCTCCTGCTGAAAGGCCCAGGGCCAGAGCTGGGGAGCCCAACCCACCTGGCAGAGATGGGAGGGGCCTGCAGGGCAGTGGCAGGGCCTGGCTCGGGGTCTGCAGAGCTGGGTCCTGTCCTTAGCTTCGAGCCTTCTCTCCCTCTGGGACCCCTGCCCTACCTGGTGGTGCCCCCGGCCTCACCCACCTGGACAGGAAGGCCTGGTGCTGCTGGATGGTATCTAGCTCATAGGTGGATGAGTCACTCCTCTTGCGGGGCAGCTGCCTCTTGGGGTCCTCGGTGCCGTTGCTACGGGGGATGTCGATGTTGCTACGGCTCAGGTGCCGACTGCTCTCCAGGCTGGAGCCCCCGCCCCCACCGCTGCCACCACCAGCACCAGAGCAGTGTGCCGTGTTCACCAGGACGCCCGGGGACAGCAGGTCAGTGTCCTAGAAGACACAGGGTCACTGCAGGCTTCTTCAGCATCCGGGAAGCTCCCCCAGCCCCCTGGCCCTGCTGGGCCCCAATGGCCTCCCCTTGGAGTCCTGCAAGGGCTAGCACTGCTCCCCTAGCTCCACGCACTGGCCACATCCTCACGGCCTCATTCCAGGCTGGACTGGCACCCTGACCTGCGTGACCTGGAGTGGACCTGCCTGTCTCCCCCATGTGCCACCCGGTACCAGAGGCTGTCACACCTGCAGACAGCTCCAGACTCCCTCCAGGGAAGACACGGTCAGCCCTGCTGCTCCTACAAGTACCTCAAGAGAGCAGGCGCTGAGAAAAAACTCTTCAGCTCGTTTAGGGCCGGCTCAAACCTGGCCTTGGTATCTGCACTCCTGATGGCCTGATCAGAGAGCATGGCTTCCTCAGTCCTGGCCACGTCCCCCGCCACCCCCCAGCTCTCTCCTGGGGCAGCTGGTCTCCTTGTTCCCCATCCCCCACGGTGGGTAGGAGCTTGGCGGGTACTTGGGAAGTGCTCGGTGACTGAAATCAGCAGAGCCCAGCTATCTGCACCCCCTGCCCTCAACATGTCCTCGGGATGGGGCAGGTGACACGGGCTCCACTCTCTCTGTAGGTGTGAGCCTGCTCTGCGATTCTCAGGACTGTGGGCCTCAGTGGGAGACAAGGTCCACCCAGAGAGGAGACAGAAGGGCACCCCATGCCCCTCTTCAAGGGTCGCGGAGTCTGGGTACCTGCACGCTGACCACGCTGCCCCGGCGGCTGCTGCTCTGGCTCTCAGACACAGCCTGGCTGCTGTGGCACAAGGCATCAAAGGCCAGGATGCCCCCAACGCAGTCCCCGATGAGGCAAACCTGCAGGCGGGGAGGAGGGGCCTGAGTGACTGCCCTACCGGCCAGGTGTGGGCTGCAAGACAGCCACCCTCTGCCTCAGGCCAGCCCACCCCTCACTCACCTGCCCACTGAAGGTCATGCCTTCCTGGGACTTGATGAAGTCCCCGTAGGCGAGGTTAGCCCGCTGGATCACCGTGGCAACCGCCTCCTGGTACTGGGGTGAAGAGGTGGCCAGCAGGGGCAGGGCAGCCAGGGGGATGTGGTCCTGGCTGCTGGACAGACAGCCTTCATCGTGGCTGTAGGGGCTGAGGCTGGAGGGGAGGCAGTCAGGTGAGAGTAGGTGGCTTTGGCTCTGCCTGAAGGGCCCCTGCCCTGCCCTGAGCAGCAGGTGGACAAGAGCTGCCAGCCACCCTGAGAGCCTTGGCCACGGGACTCAGCAAACACGAATGGGGACACTTCCAGGCTAGACCCTGGGCAGGCGTGGGGCCACAGGGCCAGTGGATAAGACCTAGCCTTGCCTGCCCCTGGGGCAGTCACGAGCCCCCTAACTTCACTAGTAATGCATGGATTACGGAGCATCTCCCACTTATAACCAACTCCCAGGTGAGCCACCAAATAAAACAAGCCCACTGCCCTAGAGTCGATTCCCACAGCACCCCTAGAGGGCAGAGTAGAACTGCCCCACAAGGTTTCTAAGGCTGTCAATCTTCACAGAAGCAGACTGCTACAACTTTCTCCCTGGAGTGGCTGATGGGTTTGAACTGCCGACCTTTTGGTTAGTTGCCGAATGCTTAAAGCACCGTACCACTACAGCCAGGTTACAGGAAACTGAGGCTCCATACTCCATCTCCCATCTCCCCCTGCACTGTGCTTGCTGCCTTGGGGCAGAGGGGGCTGGACTTCCAGGCAGGATCTGACCCTGGGCTGTCGCTGGAGGCTCAGGGCCACCTCCTCCCCTGCCACCACAGGCAGGCCCACTCACTTGGAGACGAGGGCGAAGGCGTCAGAGCAGACAGGCGGGCAGGGCACCAGGCGGATGGCAAGGCGGCCCAGGGCGCTGGGGTAGTGCACACGCATGACCGTGTCAAACACGGTGGCGATGGTGTTGGTGTCGCCCTGCTTGGAGTTGGGGTCCCCAGCACCTGTGTCCAGGATGGTGCCCCCATGCAGCACCAGCAGCAGCACGTGTATCTTGGAGGGCGGCACGGCCAGTGGCTGGCTGACCTCGTCCTGTGGGGGTGGGGGCACGTCAGGTCCCTGCAGATGGGAGCTGCCTGGCCCCCTGGCAAGGTCCTCCATCATCCTGGGGGCGGGGTAGGATGGTCCTCTGCTCCCTCTGAGAAGCCCCACTTCTGTTACAGGGTTCCAGGGCCTGGCATTGAGATGCCCCAGCTCCCTCCCCATGGAATCAGAAGGGATCAGCCCAAAGAGCAGTGGGAGGCAAGGGTGGTCCTTTGGACCTTCCTGGAGGCCCTGCCCCTGCCTGTGTGTCCAGCCAAGGGCACAGTCCGTGAAGGAGCCTGTCCTTCCAAAATTACAGACCCCATTTTCATCACCAACTGGTGGCAGGGGCTCTGCAGCTGCCCTCAGGGCCAGCACCTGGAGGTCTGCCTGCCCTCTGCATGTGGTTTCTGGGCTTGGGTCTGGCTGGCTCCAAGCAGACAAAGCCACTGCTGGAATCATATGGAGAAGGTTGGGGTCCTGGACCCTCATTCTGAATAAGGCAGTGACCCCAGTCCAAGCTCTTCCTCACCCATCTACACAGGAGCTTCCTCCTTGGCCCCCAAACCCACAGGACCCCATTCCTGACTGTCTCTGAGACCCAGGTCCCATAGGGAAGTGGAGGCGGGGGCACGTCAGGTCCCTGCAGTCACAGCCCCTGAGTGCCAGGGGTAAGGGGAGCAGGGGAGTGCAGCAGGTCCCTTACTCATGAGGGCTAAGAGCAGCAGGATGAGCCCTTTTAAAGACGAGGTAGTGGTGGCCCAGAGAGGCCAAAGGACCTGTCTGATGTCACCCAGCATGTCAGTGCCAAGGTAGCCTGGGGTCCAGAGCTCCTGCTGCCAGTTCAGTACCCTTCCTGCCAAGCCAGGCTATGACCCTATCCCCAAGGGTCTTCACTCTGAGCTCCTGGTAAGTGATTGGGGGAGGGCCAGGGGCCAAGAAGGCCGCTGGTGAGTATTTGTCAAATCAGGTCAGGAGGCCTGGGGTGGGGCCGGGAAGGGAGCTTACAGGGAGATCCTGTCCCCAGGGAACGGGGAGACAGACCAGGTGCTGAGGCCAGCTGGAGGACATGGGGTGGGGAAACTGGACTTGAACTAGGTGGTTGGGAGGCAGGAGTGCAGCAGGATCAGCTGGGAGGGGTGGCAGGTGTGGGGTCCAGGAGGGCTGGCAAGGCATCCCAGGGTGCACCGGGGCAGGAGCCTGTTCTGGGAGCCACTGAGCAGCAGAGGATAAGCGAACAGGGGTTGGAGTCACAGCAAGGGAGGAGGGCTGGGGCGCAGCCATGGAGCCCAGGGGGCTGGTCATGGACCAGCCAAGTGCCACCAGGCACCCTGCTCCCCAGGCCTGGCCAGGGCTGTGTACCTGGCTAACTGGGGATGGACCCTGTCCTGCTCCTGCTGCTGGCCTGGGTAGGGATATACCCAGAGCCCAGTAGAGGGGGCCATCAGCTTGCCAGAGCCACAGGCCAGGACAGACCCACTGCCAGCCCTGAAGGAGCCGTTCAAGGGGATCGCCCACACACCAAGAGAAAGGCTTGGGGACAAAACTTCCCCATCAGAGTCTCAACTCAGTGGCATGGTGGGAAGGTTGGGGGGATCCTGCCTAGGAGGATGGGGACTGTTCAGGGACCCCTCCCTAGCCTGTCCGAGACCTTCCTCACAGTCCCCTGCACTCTATACTCAGCCACACAGCCACACAGCCCCACAGCCTGAAACACCTGCCCCACCCCCACCCCCACCCTCAACACAAGGCTGCCTGCCAGCTGCGAGGACCCCAGTCCCGGATCAGTGTCTCCATAGAGCTGCCTGGCACAAGGATGGGAGGGAGGCTTTGCCTGGCAGAACCAGTCCAGTGTGGGTTCTTACAGGCCAACGGATCAGCCTCTGGATGGTGCCTAGCTGAGCTGGGTTCCCAGAGGCTATTCAGAGGCACCTGCAGCCCGAGGCCCTGGCCCTCTCTGGGGGGAGTCAGAGCTGTGTGCCCCAGAGGGGGAGGGGAGCTCACAGCCTCTACTGTAGCCACTACATGGCAATTAAAACTCAACTCCCCTGACCCCAGTTACCCTTCTACAAGAGCCCACCAACCTCCAAGTAGAAACCTCAGAAGGTGGGGAGGATGGTGGGGATGCCCCCCACCCCCACCCAGGTCAAACTCCCGTTTCCACCTCAGGCAGCCCTGGCTCCTGCCCCAATGCAGACAGCTCTGACCCCCGGTGGGGTGGGAGCAGGGGAGAGGAGGTGCGAGCTCTGAAAGAACCCCGCTGGACACTGGAGTCCCAACGCAGCTTTATTGGACACACTGAGCCCACCCACGGAGATGCCCCGGTGGCCACTGTGGCCTCACTTCTGCCTGCGCGGCCTGGGCTTCCTCAGGCTTTTCATCTTCATCAAGCAGGCCGGCAAGAAGGCGACAATCTTACTTTTGATCTGGAATCAACAAGTTCCTCGTTTTACTCTCCTATGGTGGGGAGTCCGTTCGGGTTCTCCACCTCTGCTGCCCTGGTTTCTCAGGGAGCCCTGGGAGGCCCGTGGACGATCCCAGGAGTCTGGAAAGGAGCCGGGCTGTGCTGGTCACCCAGGCACCTACCTCTATGATGTTCAGCTGCTCCACGCTGGAGGCCACCCTGAACCCCGGGGCACTCTGCTGATACAGACCATCTGCAACACAGAGGCAGGTTATGAGGGTGGGCGGGGGAAGTGCAGCCAGGGCCCTGGGGACGGGACCACCAGATGAGGGGCGGCTCTGAGCAGGGGAGCTCCCGGCTGCTCCAGTCCTTCCGCCATCTGTAGCAAGGCTAGGGCCCAGCCCACCTACCACCCAGCCCTGTCGGTACCCTGTATATCCTCTGACTCCGGGCTTTCGATTTTGTCCATGAGATCATTGGAGTTCCACTTGCTGATGTCCTTGGGGAACATGTCCTCCGAGTCAGACAAGTCCTCTGCAGAAGGGGGCAGGAGGAGGGCGGAGTGGGGCTATAGGGGAGGGCCCATTCAGCAGCTCTAGTTCCAGGCTCTTCAGACCCAGGACCAAACCATGGCCCCTGCCTTTAACCTGGACACCCACTCCCCAAGTTTTTCCCCTCACGACCAGCCAGCCTGTTAATGTTAAGCAAGATGCCATAATTCTGGGGCATCTCTGCCCACTCAAAGCCACGGTGGCGGTGAAGGCATGAGAGCTGCCCTGTCCTTTGGCTTGGGGCAAGTCAGGGCCTTCCCAAGCTGGTTTCCTGCTGTGTAAACCTGGGGGCTGCTAGACACGAGGCCTGCAGCGGAAGCCCCCACCCTGTGCCTGCTCCGCGCCCCTCTCACCCGCTAAGGGCATGCCCAGGGACAGAGCAAACGGTTGCTTTTTGTATTTGATTCTTTATGGCACAGGTGGTTCATTCCTTGTGCTTATTCTGGGATAGCAGAAAATGGGCAATTTATAGATTTTCTGCTTGTTTGTATCATCTGAAGTTTCTACATTAGACATGTATTATCCACCAGCCACTCCTCGGAAGGAAGATGGGGCAATCTACTTCCGTAGTGATACTGCCTTGGAAACCCAAGGAGGGGTAGCTGTGAGTCGGGTCTGACTCAACGGCACATAACAACAACAACTACTAAGGAAAAGATGAGGTTAATTGAAAAAAGATAGGTAATTACATACAAAGTCATACTTTTACAAAGCTCACAGAAACAAATTCACATACTGGAAAAAGCCCAGGTTTCATTATGTCCCTATTCTGGGGTTGTTTTTTTGGGTCCCCACCAGCCAGGCCCACCGCACATCCTGATGTCCCCTTAGGGTGGGTCTGAGACCTCAGCCTCCTGGGACCCAGGCTCCTGGTGGCTTCATTTCATCCTCTCCACCACACCATTCACTTGCTGTAGGTAGTTTCCACCTGAACTCAACATCCCCATCCCAAAGCCTTCCAGACTCCTGGAGCCAGACGCTCCACCCTGTTCCAGAAAGGCCCCCCTTCCAGCAGCCTGCCTACCGTGGGCATCGAAGAACTCGTCCTCAGAGCTTTCGTCTGAGTCCCTGGCGATACTCTGCATCCTCCACTCCGAGATGCTGTGGCGAGAAGGGCTCGCTGGAAGGCAAATCCCAGGCCAACCACTCAGTCGGCCGCTGAGGGGCAGCAGTTTCCCCATGCCCAGGCACCACGCAGAACCCTGGGCCCCATGAAGCAGGAAGCAGTCAGGCGAGTGCCGTGCACCTGAGCAGGGGCAGCAGCAGGAGGTGGCCCAGGGAAACGGGTTGCCACTAACCCAGGTGGACATGGCCTGGGGCAAGGACCAGGAAGACTCTGGGAGGGGCAGGCCTTTCCCACACCACCTCCTCCCAGAGCAGCTCCCGGTGCAGCCGATTCTCCTGGGGAGAGTGGGGAGTATGGGCACCCGGGGAGTAAGCTGAGCATGGGCATCAGACAGGCGGGGTGGGCTGTCCTGTGACTTGCTTCCGGGATCTGACCCTGAGCAGCAGCGGAGCTGACCACAGGGCTCCCAGGTTGGCAGGACTGTGAGAATTCATTAGATAAAAGCTGGAGACGCACACACTTTCAAGTCTCTCTGGCTCACTGGCACAGGGACAGAGTTTATGGCAGCTGGGTGTAGGGGTCTGGGTTTGCCGAGGGGATTCCACTGCACACCTATCTGATTCTTCTCAGAACTACAGCACTTTCACACTCCCCCCAACACACGCACACCAGGGTTTTCCCAGGGTCTGAAGCCCTGCAGACCCTCTCCACATCTGGCCCACTGCCTGGCTCCCAGCCTCGTCAGGGCTGCAGGACGGCCTGGACGGCCTCAGCCAGTGGAGGGCCAGTCTGTGGAGAGAGGAGAAGGTTCTGGCTCCCCACACAGCCCCAAAGATGTGAAAAGCAAGAGTCTGCTTTCAGTTTGGAATGATCTAGGCTGACATGGGGACCCAGGAGGGGCAGCCAGCCATAGAAGATGATGCCTGAGGGAGGGCCCGTCACCCAAAGCAGACCCCAGCCTGGGGGGAGGGGGCACTAGACACTCTCAGGGTCCTCATGAACCCCACCTGGCCTCAGGGCTCATTACCAGCACTGTGAAGGCATGAAGGGCTGCGGGTGTGGGTGGCTGCACGAGCTCACCTCCCCGCTTGGATGACCTCGATGACCTGGAGGATGTGGACCACTGCTTCTTCAGGCCGCGCCCGGCCATGGGCTCCCCATTGCTGCCGCTGGGCTCGGCGGGCTCCCCGGAGGCCTGGTCCTGGACAGCTTGGTCCTGAGAGAGCTCAGTGGCCTCCTCGTCCTCGCTGAACTGGGCCATCTTGCGGGAGAGCACAAGCTGTGCCTCCTTCTCCAGCTCCCGGATGTTCTCCATGCTGAGGCCAAACCACTCATCCTGCCAGCACCAGGCCTGCCGGTGGGCCCGCACCATCACCCTCCGCAGGCCTGGATGGGGCAGGGGAAGAGGAGGGGCAAAGGAGGGAGTGGGGAGGGGCGGGGGAGGAGAGGGAGAGGGAGACACAGAGAGGGACACAGAGACAGGAGGGAGAGAGGGAGGGAGACGGATGGGGAGAGATACAGAGATGGAGAGAAAGGGGGGGCACAGAGACACAGAAACACGGAGAGAGAGTTCTCAGGCCAGAGTTGGCCCGGAGGCCCCCTGAGCCTGGGTTGGGCTGGGCTCCAACACCCCTGGGTGAGTGGCCCAGGGCAAACACTGCCCATTGTGCCTCAATTTCCCCTTCTGTAAAATGAGGCAATTGGACCTCATGATCTCTAAGGTCTTCCCAGCCAGATGCAGCACACAGTGAGTCTATAATTAAAGCAAAGGGGCTCTCGCTGTGATGTGTCTTATCAGAAGCCACCATTAATTTTGGGGGGAGTTTCCTGTCCCAGGGGAGGCTGGCACAGGGCTTCCCAAGAGTCGCTTGTCTCTGTGTTGGCACGCTTTTCCTAACTTCCCATTGAAAAGCAAGTTGGCCCTACACTTAAAACAAAAACCCAACACTTTTAGTAAGATGTACTGTACATATAAAACAAACTGTTTAAGGTATACAGACAATAATTGGAAAGAACCATAGAGGCAGAAAGCTGATCAGAGGTTGCCTTGGGCTGGGGTGGGTGGGGATGACTGCAGACAGGAACAAAGGGACCTTGTGGGGTGACGATGTTCTAGAACTGGCTGTTGGAGCTGGCTACACATTCTGAATAGATGCACGCTTAGCCAAGGGTTCTCTCACAGCAGGTGAATGGTATGGTAGTAAAGGTATGCTTCCATGAAGCGGGTTTATAATTTTTTTTTCAATTCACATCCATACCACTTAGCTAAGAAAGAGGACATCACCCAGCCTTCTACATACCCCTCATGACCTCCTCCCTCCCAGTACGAGAGTCTACCTGAATTTGGGGTTCACTGTTTTTCTCTATGGGTTTCCCACCCACATGTCCCCGTAAGCGACATGGTGGGTCTGTCTGCATGCTGTTGAATTTCTCTGTATGTGGCAGGCTGTGCGTGTTCTCTCGTAACCTGCTGTTGTGGGGAGGTTTATCCATGTACGTGTGGCCTCAGAGCTCACAGGCTTGTGACAAAAGCATTTATTGGTTTAAAACGCCTCATTTCATTTATGTCTTCTCCTGCCAGCGGGCCTTTGGCTCATTTTCTTTGTTTGTTCGATTTGCTATTATGACTGCTTGGAACGTTCTGGAACTTGCCCGGCTTTCTCCAGGGCAAACCCGGGAGTGAAATCGCTCCATCTCAGGGCATGCACCACTCTGCTTCCCTAGGGGAAGGCCGGTGGCTGAGCAGGGCGGTCAGGCCAGTTCACAGTCCCCAGCAGGCCTCTTTCAGAACCCTCCCAACGCCCCTCCTGTTTGCAGTGTCGGCTGTGCTCAGCCCCTCCTCCCCTCCCCAGCTCTGAGGCTGTCCTTTCTAAATCTCCCTGCCAGGCCTGCTCTGCCACTGTAGGAGCCTTCCTCCTTACCCTGCCCCCTGACCTCCAGATAGTGTCCTCCTTCAGCAGGATTGAGGATGGCCTCAGGCTACCCACAGCCCATCCAGAGCCTCAGTTTCCTCTCTTGCACCTGTCTGCTGACCCCACATGGCTGCCAGGAAGGGCAACGCTTCCCAACTCTAACCCATACATGGAAATGCTTCCTGGGGGCCTGGCAGAGCCCTGGTGGCACAGTAGTTAAAACATTTGCTGCTCACTCAAAGGTCAGCAGTTCAAACTCACTAGCAGCTTCATGGGAGAAAGATGAGGCAGTCTGCTTCCATAGAGATTTACAGCCTCAGAAACACTATGGGGCAGTTCTATTTTGTCCTAAACTGTCACTAGAGTCAGAATCCACTTGACAGTGTCAGGTTTAGATGTAGTACCTCGAACAGCACTACATCTGGGGCCAGGCAGTAATGGGGACAGCTAAGACCTGAGCCCAGAGTCCCTGGGTGGTGCTGTTAATACACTGAGCTGCTCACTGAAAGGCTGGGGTTTCGAGTTCACTCAGAAGTAACACAGTAGAAAGGCCTGGTGATCTGCTTCCAAAATATCAGCCACCAAAAGCCCTGCACAGCACAGTTCTGCTGACACACATGGAGTGTCAAGAGTCAGAACCAGCTGGACAGTGACAGGCTGGTTAAGAACGGTGCCCACCTCCAAAGTCAGCCTCTCCAAAGCTGCCTGAGAGAGGCCGCCTGGCTCGGGTGACTCAGGTTCACTGACGACCCTATGACAATACACATAGTAACAGCTGTCACCCAGCACCCACTAGGTGCTGTGTGCCATCTTGGTTCTGAATACCACCGTCTTGTCTTATCTCCTTGCAGGACAGGCATTGCTATACCCATTTTACAGATAAGGAAAGTGAGGCTCATAGACATAAGAGGCTTCCCGAAACCACAGAGCCACTGTGTGGCAAAGTTGGGACTGGGCTTCAGTTAAAGGGCTCGGGGGATCTTCAGAGCTTGGGCTGGATCTTGGTTAGTGCACAGGGCTGGGAAGGGGTGCCTGACCCCAGAAAAGCCTTGAGGAGAAGGCAGGATAAACCACTAGCACTGACACGGTCAGCTTCTTGGGGATGGAGCAGGAAGGGGTCAGGGTGGTGCCAGCCCTCCTGATGGGTGGGACATTTCCTTCTCTTCACTACCAGCCCAACGCCTGCTGGCTGACATTACAGAGCCCCCAGGAAGCAGGCCTGCGGGTGGTGGGCTTGACCTCTGCCCTGACACTGAGCTGCCCCAGGCCACCTCTGCCACTGAGGTCCTTTCCAGCTCCCAGGCCCTGCCACTGGAGGCACCAGCCCTCTGTGTTGCACACCCACTTTCCTCTTGGGACAGGCAGCAAATGGTGGGTCTGGCTGTTAGGGGGCTCTGGAGGTCCTGCAGGCCCTGTCCCTGATGCTGAGAACATCTGCCTTGGCCAGCAGGACAGTGAGGCTGGGTTGAGCCTGGCTCCGCTTCTGACTTGGGCTCCCCCAGCCCCTCTGTAAAATGGGGTACAATGCCCCACTCTGGGTCATCAGGATTTGTAAGATGGGCAGGAAACCCATCATCAATGGGGAGACTATGCCTGTCTAGTCAGGGGCCAGCTGGGCCTCTCCCAGCTCAGGAGCCTCTGGGGTGGGGACAGGCCCCTTGGCACCAACATGAGGCAGGGACTGGAGGGTGGGGGAGGGGAGGGGGAAGGGGACCTCAGCACAGGCTCCACCAGGAGCCGCAGGCCATCTTTGGTTCCCCCACTCCCAGGCACCTCCTCTGGACCCACCCAGTGTGTGTGAAGGACACATTTGTGGCCAAGCTTCCTTGTCCCTGGAGCTTCCAGCCCAGTGAGGGAGGCAGGCTTGGGGGCAGGGCTGGGTTCCAGAATCCCCAGGAGGAGAAAACACAGCCCTGGTGTGAGTGGGCAGGGAGGCTGTACTGGGGGCGTGTCCCACTGGTGGGAGGGGCGTTGTTACCTTCCCATCAATTCCACCTCCTTGCACCCGCGTGTGTGCAGAGTACAACTGCCCCATAGGTTTGCACTGCTGAGACCCTTGGAAGCAGACAGCCAGGATTTTCTTCCTGTTGCCTCTGGGTGGTTTCAAACTGCCAGCCTTTCAGCTAGGAGTCAAGCTCTTAACCACGGCGCCACCCAGGGGCTGCCAGACAGGTGTGTATATGTACCCATTTGAGAAGCAGGCCGTGAGTCTCTGAAGGTGGGGCCGGGGGCTCATGGCCAGACACACATACTGCTCATCACGGAGGTGCTCCACGACCGTGTTGAACGGTCAGATGCTCCGCACAGGGAGCAGGATGAAGGCGCAGCACAGGGCCAGGCCGGGGCAGCAGCTCACCCGTGTCGTGGATGAACCTCTCGATCTTGGACTGCATGCCCCAGTAGCGGAACTCCACCTTGCAGAGCTTGTAGGCGCACATGAGCGGGAAGGCGTACTGCTTGTGCTCCTCGATCCAGTTGTCAGAAAGTGGCCCCCGCTGGGTCTTGGAGGAATGGAACAGCTTGGGGTCCTCCTCTGTCTTATACTCACTGGGGGGGACGGGGTCCTTGACGATGTCAATGAAGTCTGCAGGGAGATGAGGAGAGTGGCCATGTCTGCCCAGACCTTGACTGCCACCTTCTTGTCCAGTGGGCTCCCCCATGTCTCTTCACCCCTCAACCCCTCCAGACTATGCGATAACACATTTCTGCTGCCATAAGCCACCGGATTTGTGGTCCTCTGTGACGACAGTTACCCCAGGAGCCAAATCCTGGGGCTGGGTCGCCTCCCTAGGAGCAGGAGTGCCTCTGCTGAGACACCTGCACGACACCTTCTTTCCCTGGGACCCTGGGTCCTGGGGGCCAGAGGGTGCACACTGGCAGCTGTTGAGCTCAACCCGGGCCACGCGTGTGCTCTGTTTGGCTGGCACACAATCGCTTGAACCTGCATTGTGAACACTGGGACACTTCACGCGAGAACCCTGGTTTCTGCCTTCTCTTGGAAAAGAGACACATGGCAGAATTAGCAGGAAGAGGGTGGAGTGGAGGCCGTTGCCATCAAGGGCACGGGATGGCCTCGTCGTTTGCCACAGTCCCTGATCACCTGCTGCCCTCATTCATGCCTGTCAGCTGAGGTGGGAGCCAGGCACACAGTAGACCGTGACTACTCACACCTCCGTGCAGGCCCGGGAAAGGTATGGAGCCTCAGTTTGCATGTCAGGAAAATGGGGTACGGTTGCTCATCCTGTTTCCTCCTGGTGTGCAGCTGGGTCAAAGGGCAGAGGGGGCTCTGGGCTGCGAAGGCTGGACACCTGTCCAGAACGTTGCAGGGACACTTGCCCGCATCATCACAGACGCTTGCCTAGAACTTCGCAGGGGACGCACGCCCAGAACGTTGCGGGGGATGCTCACCAATTGTCAGCTGGTTCCTTTCCACAGGAGAGAGGCTGAACACGTTGCAGTTTTCTCCAGCATCGGTTTTATAGAAGGTTTCGATGTCGATGGAGAATTTCTCCACGAAAGGGCATGTGAACCTGTGCAGGAAGGGGGGCATCCCAGGAGCCACTGAGAGCTGTGCTCAGAGGGGCCACGAGACAGCTGGCCGGGGCTGGGCGGGGGCCCTCATGGGGAGCAGGGCCTGCTGGGAAGGGAAGGAGTGGGACCCAAGACTCACTTGTCCCCATCCCACCTCCTGGGCCTTCACCTTGTCCCAGGAACAGCCAACGGCAGGTTGGGAGGGTGGGCTTGGGGGAGAGGGTGCAGTAAGCTGGTGTCCCCAAGCTGCTTCTAGAAGGCTCACATGTTCATATCCCATGTGTAAGCCAGAACACGGAACACACACATGCCCACAAGCAGTAGGGCTGAATCTACCCCCAGTCCTCAGTGTGATATGCCCCTGCCACCCAAAGCCAACTCTGGCAGCAGGACAGGGCTTTTCTCCCAGGTGGAGACTAACTTGTGGGAGGAAGGTGCTGTCAGGAGAGGAAGAGCTCAGTGGACATGTAGCTGCAGGCCCTCGTCCAGAGTGGGCAGAGCCGTAGGTTGCAGGGCTGGTTTGGGTGTAGGGGTGTGCCTGGCGGTCCCAGCCTGGGAGCCAGGTGGCTAACCTGGTTCAGGTATAGGGGTGTGCCTGGCGGTCCCAGCCTGGGAGCCAGGTGGCTAACCTGGTTCAGGTATAGGGGTGTGCCTGGCGGTCCCAGCCTGGGAGCCAGGTGGCTAACCTGGTTCAGGTATAGGGGTGTGCCTGGGGGTCCCAGCCCAGGACCACTGGTTTAGGCCTGGGGGCATCAGGGGGCTTTCACCCCTGCTCAGGGTCAGCTCACCTGGTCCGGGTGTAGGGGTAGGCGTTCCAGGACTCCTCCACCACCCGCAGGGCCGCCTTGGGCAGGATGGAGCGGAACCAGCTGGGGATGTGCATACCCACGTGGTACACCTTGTGTGTGTACTGCCCGGAGCCACCGGGGCCATCTGAGTACGGCCGATTCTCCAGGATCTCCACGCCACTACCTTCGCCAAACGTCTCGTTTCGGCTCTTCTTCTGTGGAGACAAAAGGCCACGTGTCTCCAGAGGACTCCAGGGGCCATGTTCTCTGCATACAGGAAGGGGCTCACAGAAGGCAGTGGGGGAGGTAAAGGGCTTTGGCCCATGTGGCCGCTCTTCTGGGTACTTCTCAGACCCTGTCCAGGCTCAGGCTCCAAGGGCCCAAGGCCTTGTATGGGAGCCCAAAGCTCTCCAGGCTCCAGTACCGCCAACTGCCTCCCCCTTCCCCCAGGACTTCTCTCTGAAGTGACTTCTTCTGGGGTGACCTTCTAAACTGGTTGTGATGACACCCACACAGCTCTGAGCACCCAGGACCAAGGTAGCTGCACTGTGCACTTTAAATGGGGGACTTCATGGCATGTGACTGACATCTCAGGAAAGTTGCTGTCAAACAAAGCAAACGAAACCACGTCTTGCCTCTCATGCTTACTCAGATGCAAGAGACAGCCAGTGTGGGGAGCGGGAGACAGCCTGGGTGGCTGGCTCTGAAATACAGTGCCTCGGTCACCTCTCAGTGGCTCTGCTGACCACCTTTCCCAGTCTCCAAAAGCTCAGGGTTCTGTTCATGCAGGAAACTGTGTCCAAGGTGCTGGCGACTTCAAGCTCAGCATGTTCCCATGGTGATGTGACAGCATCACCAAGGCCATCTTCGGTCAGCTTGTTGAACAGCACGTGCACGAAAACCCACCCCCATAAACGCACACCCACAGGCACACACCCACGCCCATATGCACACACTCACATGCGCGCACACACAACACACCCACACTCTTGTGTACATACCCATGTGCACACAAAGAAACACACATCCACACATACCCCACATGTTCACATACCCATGCACACACGCATGTGCACACCTTCAAACACACACACATACTCACATGTGTGCATGCAAACACACTCCTGAATACCTATGCTCTTCCCTACACACCCACTGATGTGTGCACACAGAGGCACTCCCAACACCATAGCCCTGCTGCCAATGCCCCCATATCTGCCTGCTGCCTCCCTGGGGTATGAGATGTGTCACACCTCACTGGGGTATGAGATGTATCACGCCTCCCTGGGGTATGAGATGTGTCACGCCTCCCTGGCCCAGAGCAGATGAGCCTTCAAAACAAATATGAGATCAAGGGAGATATACCCCTTAGAGCCATTGGCCACGGGGCACCAGAGGGCCAGCATTCACATAGAGGGAAAGCTGGACAAACAGGAGTGCATAGTTAAGAAGGGCACAGGGAGAAGGTGGTCACAGGGATGGAAGGGGAGGGGAGGAGAATTTGCTATGGTCAGGGATGGCAGTTGGGGCATGAAATCAAATGTATGTGAACTGTTGAATGTAAAACAAATTTTGCTCAGTAAATTTACACCCAAAGCACAATAAAATTAATCAAACAAACAAACATGAGGACAATGTGCAGGTCAGGGGTCTCTGAGACTAAGGTAGGATGCTGGCTGGTCAGGGAGCCAAGGGCAGAGAAAGGACAGGGAGCGCTGGAGGGGACAGAGACAGGGGTCTTCTCAACCTGGCTGTACAGGAGGCCTGGGTAGAAGCAGGCAGACCTCTCTGTGAGTCCTCCATCCATCCCAGCTGGGCAGTGCCCCTGACCACCTCCTGTGAGTGATCCTGTCTGTCTGGCAAATGGGAGCACTGACCTGCCCAACAGGTGAGTCCTCGTCTCTCACCTACCAGTGGGTTCTCATCACCTCCTACCCAGCTTCTTCTGCTCCAAGCCAGGCCTTCCTTAAACAGCACTTTCCACAACATGAGAATGACTCTGTGGGTAGCCTTACCATGCCAACCCATATCTTTTGCCCACAGGTGACTTCAGGTGCATTGACAGAGCTGTATAGTGGGGAAAGCCCGGGCTTTAGAGTCAGATTGGGGGGGTGGTGAGGAGCAACTCTGTTCCAATAGCAACAGCTGTGACTTCATAGAAGGCAAAAGCCAAAATGGATTGCAAAGCTTTCCACTACAGCTATGGGACATCAGTGAGGACAAGTCCATGTGTCAGGATAGAGCCTGCCTCGTGGGGTCTGCTGTGCACCTGTGAGCAAGTTCCTTGACATTGCGGAGCCTCGAGTTCCCATCTGTAAGGGGAGGACAAACCTCCCCAGGACAGTGGTCATCTGAAGGTCATAGTGAGGGTTAACTTCAAGCCATGTGTCTGGGCTCCTGGCAACCAGCCACTGAAACCACCAGAGGTGGTGACAGCCGTGGTCACTCACAGGAGACGGATGTGGTAGGCTATTGACGGACCTGAGGGTCACAGCAGGCAGCAGCCACTGGCACCCAACATGTCCTCTGAGTGTCTCCATGCAGAGGCCAGGGAGCAACCTGAATGACTAAACATCACTACTCCCTTCCAATGCTGGGTGCATCTTCTCATTGTGGAGCTGGCAATACAAAAGGCCATCGGCCCCCCAAAGGGGGACAACACCCCACGTGGGAAGGGCCTTGGGTAGCCTTGTGGTGACCTGTCATACCACAGAGGAGCCAGCTCTTCCTGACAGGGGAGTGGCCCACCCCCCACAGAGCCAGCGGCAGTGCTGCCTAAATAGGCTGGAGGGTGGCCCTCTCTCTGCCTGGCACCTAGGGCTTCCCAGGAGAGGCCACCGTGCCACGGGGCTGGAGTGGCAAAGGCACAGACCCAAGGTGGCCAGTTCAACAAAAATAGGAGTCTCCAGGGGGGGTTAGGGCAGAGGGACAAGCAGGTCCTTGACAACCATGCAGTTGGCAGAGATAGAGGGAGGGCACAGTGCTCTTCCCTAGTGCTGTCCAGGGTCCTGGCCCACTCCCAGCCCCACTCCTGATCTTCAGTCCTTCCCAGACCGGAGATGGTGTGTTGGACAGGCAGCAGGCTGGGCACTCCTGCCCGGGCTCCCACAATCCTGAGAGTAACCTCACAGAGTTGGCGGCCAGTGCAGACAGGAGGCCATGGCCCAGCTCCAGGTACAGCTGGTCCTCAGCAGAGGTGGGAGATGCACTTTCCTCTGCAGGCTTAGCCTCCTAAAGCCCAGCTCAGAATGTGGGCTGAGCATGCCCAGTTCTGCACTTGCTACAAGGGCTGCAAACCATGTGAGTTCCGCTGGGGGCTCTGAGTGGATATCAAGCATTTGTCAATCAACTCTCTCCCAGCCCTCGGCACAAAGGAGGGCCCAGAGGAACTGGTGAATTCGACTTTTTCGGTTATGGGTTCGGTTATGTGCCCCCAAAATATGGCCACATGTCTCCAGAGGACTCCAGGCCTCATCCCTGCATCTGTGAAACTGACCTCATTTGGAAAGGGGGGGTGTCTTTTGTTATGTTAATGAGGCCAGGCCAGGGTAGGGTGGGCCCTAAACCTAGTCACCTCTGACTATGAGCAGCAGGACAGAGACAGAGACACACACAGGGAGGTAGCGGGACACATGCCTGGGCTACTATACACCTGGGCATTCTGATCATTCACATAAACTTGCAGGACCTCCCCCACTGCCTGTCTTCTCACCTCCTGAACTGAGAGCAAGTAGCTTTCTGTCCTGTAAAGCCACCCCTGTGTGGGTGTTTTGTTCCCAAAGCACACAGCTATTCATAACTGACCTATGACACACTAAATGTGATGACTTGTGACACGCGTGCCCTCTGAGACCACCGCCAAGATGGAGACTAGAAATGACACCCCCCACCCCAACAGCAGGAGCCAGGCACTCAGGCCTGTGGGCAGGCAGAGGAGGGAGCCGGTAAGCACTGGAGGGGCTGAAGCAGAGAAGGTCCCTCTGGGAGCATCAGGGCTTTGGCACAGGCTGATGGGGGTGTGTGGGTGTCTCAGGGCCAGGAAAGGCCAGGTGAGGGCCTCCCCTGCTGCTCTGCCCTGGTGAGGGGGCTCCTCAAGAGCTGCTGGGAGAAGGCTCAGGGGGATGGCTAAGGGGAAAAGTCAGCGGTCCCTCTGAGCCTCCACCAGGGTGGCAACTCCTTGAAGCTCTGTCTGCTCCCTGGCTCGCAGCTCCCTGGGCTCCCAGACACGGTGCCCTCCCCCTCACTTGCACTTCCCACCTCTGAGGCAGGGTACCTCTCTGCAGGCACTCCCAGGAGCCCAGTGCTCTCCAGGGCCGTGGAGGTCACCTGGACCCTGGCTGGGAGCCAGGCGGTCAGAGTTGTGATCCCAGCTTTGCCAACCTTGGTTTCCTCATCTGTAAAATAGGGCACTGGCCTATAAGAGCCCTTCTGGGCAGATGTACTATGAGGCGCCTGGCTTATGTGACAGATAAAGAAGCTAAAGCTCAGAGAGGCCCAATCACTGGGTCACTGTCCCTCCACTAGTGAAAGTCAGAGCTACACTTGAAGCCAGGCTCAGTGTGACCTCCCAGCCTCCCAGGGATCCTGGGGACCTGGTCTCAAGAGAAGGGGCTGCGCTGGCATCAAGAGAGACCCACCAGGCCCCCTCAGGGCCTGTGCTGCTGTGTGTGAAGGAGGGGTGGAGAGCAGGCCCACACCCACCAAAGACAATAGCAGGCAGGGCCTGACACACACACACACACACACAGCCACTGTCCTGCAGGGGCAGACTCACAGACCACCACTCAGCAGAGACTGCTAAGAGAGGGGAGTGAACAGACACGATCCCTGGGATTCACTGGAGTCAGGCAAAGCCCTGGGAAGGCAGGGCCCGCGGGCCAGGGCTGGGAGGCAGAGAGAATGTGGGAGCGTGCACTGTGATGCCCTGGGCTTCTGTGTCAGAACCAACAACCAGCCGAAGAGGCCCAGGGCCCCAAACCAGACAGCACTGCTTGCAGGTCGGAAGAAGTGAGGCCTGGCGGCCAGGGCCTCACCTCCACGGGGGCCTTGTTGAAGGGACAGCAGAGCCATGGCGCTCCCATTGTAAGACCAGGGCGGGGTGCTATCCTTGATACTTGGCAGGGCCAGGCTGGTGGGCAGGGGTGCTAAGGACCCAAGGAAGATAATTGGTCCAGAGTCTCAAGAAGGCTGTGGCTTCCTACAAGCCTGCTGCCACTGGAGGCACGGAGCAAGAGGGTGGAAAGGGCTGGGATTCGGGAACCCAGCATCCAGGGATGAAATGTTCCTGCAAAGCTCGGCTGTCCTATCCTCAGAGCTCTGGGAGCCACTGGCTGGGGGGGCAGACAACGCAACACACACAGCGGCCCTGCAAAGCAGCCTGCTCCTGGAAGCTGTGTGGTGTTCCAAGAGCTCAGGGCCGGCGCTTGCAGCCTCTCTCTCCCGCTCTTGAGGAATAATTAAGGGGTAAGTGGTTCAAGAGGGAGCTGAATGGCACTTCTGAAGCCACTCAGAGCAAACAGCCCATGGAGAGGCTGAAGCCCCTCCTGTTCCCTTCCCAGCCAGGCCTCATAGGCCGAGGAGCCTGGTTGAACCCCCAGAAGCTTCTTCGAGGGCTGCCCATAGGGGGCTGGGCCACCAGGGCTCTGCCAGAGGTTGTCACCAAGTGACCAGGTTGAAGGGTGGGAAGCTGCCAGGCAAACATGGGGATGAGAGATGGGGGCCTGCCAGCTGGACTCCTCCCCTGCACTGACAGCTGGGCGGGATGTCCAATGAGGGGCACCGAGAGAGGTCGGACAGAGGCAGCCCATGGGGGAGCAGGTACCAGAGGCGTTGACGTACTCTGGAAGGACGGAGCCCTAATCTGAGCTCCCCGCCTCAAAAGGGAGCTGCTGGAAGGAGCCTCCACACAGCAAAGGCCCAGCCAGGATCCCAAGAGGAAGCGTGGTCACGTGTTGGCCACCACTATGCTGGTCCTACCTCCTCAGCTCACCAGCCATCATCTCAGACTGGGGATGCTCTGAACCTGTCACCAACCACAAATGGGACTCTGCCAATGAGCAAAGTGTGACAGGGCCAACCGCCAGCAGCGCAGGGTAGTGGGGAAGGCGGGACCTGGGAGCCGGGAGTGCACCATGCGATACTACACACATCATTCCTCATGCCCTTCATCCAGCCATCACGATGAAGGACATCAGAATCGTCGCAACAGAAGCACTAACCTAAGGAAGCGGTAGAAGTGGGCGTGCCATGCCTGCACCACCACCCCTGGGGGACCCTCCAATGCCGTGACTATCCATGGAGCTGTGTACCTGCACCAGGCTTGGAAGCCAGGCCCCGGGTGCGACTGACACATTTGGTGGGGGACCCACCTGGATCATGTACAGCTGGGCGATGCGGTACTCCTCCACAGTCATCGGCAGAGGGATCCGGTATTCCTTTATGATCATTTTGGAGTCCGTGCCTTCCCGGTGATGGGAACTGCAAGCTGGGGACTTCTGGGCAAGGTTCCTTAAATCACCATGACAAAACTCACCGAGGATCCCTGGGGAGAGAGGAGGTCAGGTCACCATCTAGGAAGGCTGGCGGAGACTGGCACAGAGGGGAGGCTCCCAGCCTCCCCACATCCCTGTTTCCTAAGTGAACTCAAAGAGCGGCCGGAAGGGCCAGGTGAGATTCGAGCATGAGCTCTTTGAACAGTAAGGACTGCTAGCCTCCCAGCATGGCCAGGTGCGGAAGGGGGGCACACTGAGGCCCAAACTCCCTGCTTTTGTTTTACTCACGATACTAAGGAGCTCTCAGGAAAGCACCTCCCACCCCCACTGCAGCTCGGCCATGCTGACCTCCAGAGGAGGTGCTCTCATGGCGAGGTGGTTAAAACCTTGGGTTGCTAACCAAAAGGTTGACAGTTCGAATCCACCAGTGGTTCCACAGGACAAAGATGAAGCCATCTGCTTCTGTAAAGATTGGCAGCCTTGGAAACCCTTGTCCAGTTCTACTCTGCCCTCTAGGGGTGCTGTGAGTTGGAATAGACTGGAAGGCAGTGGGTTAGTGGGTTAACCTCGAGAGATGGCGTGATATCACCTGGCAGATGAGTGAAGGTTTCCAACATGGGCAGAGGCAGAACCAGGGGAGTATTTTAGAAAGATCACTCTGGGGAACAACAGGAGGAACCTGTGAGGACTTGTGAAGACCAGAGGCTGGGCACACGGGCTCTGGGTGTGGGGGAGATCGAGGTCCGAGCCATCAGGCAGCATCCTGGGGGCCCCACGTACAAAGGAACAGCCCTGCAGGATCATCTGCTCTGAAATGTTACTGGACACACAACAAGATCAAGATAACTGGGTTCACCAGAACTCTGGCAGATCCAGTTAGGGGTCTGGTCTGCGGGGGTGGAGAGCAGTATGAGCCTGGGCCAGGACTGGCATTGTCCAGGAAGGCCGGAAGCAGAGACTAGAGCCCCCGTGTGGTTCTCCTGCCCCCCTACTCAGCCCTGAAAGCTGCTCGCCCCAGGTCCAGTGTTCATGGGCCAGCCTTTGGAGAGTCTAGCCCAAGTCTGGTTGGAAGCAGAGGCCAGAGGCAGAAGTGATGACCTACTCCCCATGGCTTCACTTCATTCCAAGAAAAAGTCAGAAACAAGTACTGGGCTTGTCTGGAGCAGTGGGTGTTTACGTGCTACCCCTGCTGGGCTCCCAGTCGGCTGAGGCAGTAGCACAGGCCCAGGAAACCATCCCTACTCCAACAACAGAGAGAACCTTTGGATGAGATTAGCATGGGAGATGGGAAGGCACAAACCGAGGTTCCATGATGCTATTCCGGGTGGCTTCCCATTTACACCTTGGGGCTGCCCTACCTGGAGGGCTGCCCTACCCAGAAGGTACTATGGATGCCATGTCACAGAAGAGGAAGTGGGCACCCCGGAGTGACATGCTAGCACTCACACCCACCTCTGGGGACCCAGGTGCCTCCTGCTGCATAGGGTCAAAGCTATATCCCAGAGTCACCTTACTTCACTGCCACCTCCATCCAGTCAATTCTAACTCAGAGAGACCCTATAGGACAGAGTAGAACTGCCTGTAGGATTTCCAAGGCTACAAATCTTTACAGAAGCAGACTGCCTCATCTTTCTCCCATGAAGTGGATGGTGGATTCGAACTGCCGACCTCTTGGTTAGCAGCTGGATGCATTAACCCATAGCATCACCAGAGCTCCCTAGAGTGACCTGGAAAAGTCCATTTCCTCTCTGGGCTATATCCTCATCTTTACAACAGGGGCCAGACACAAGCTCTAATGAGTTGCAGGGAGTCCAAGGACCTGCCCTCGTGGGGCCCTGACCATTCTACCACCATGACTGCCCATGCTCACCACACATAATCAGATTAATCTTCCATCACCTACTGGGGCTGATCCAGGATTAGGGGTGGGCTTGACTAAGCATGTTCCTGAAGTGTCTCCCTCTCCTCAAACAGCACTACTTCTAGTCCTCTCACTTTAAAACCAGGGAAAAAATCTCCAGCCAAGCCAGCTCCCACTGGAAGAGGCAAGAAAGGATCCTGCTTAGAGCCTCTGGAGGGAATGGCCCGGTCAACATTTTGATTTTGGATTTCTAGCTTTCAGACTGTGAGACAATCCATTTCTGTTGAAGTTTGTCATACTTAGGTATGGCAGTCCTAGCAAATAAATACACATAGGTACATAGGAGGAAAGAATAAAATAAATGGTTCTGCACAGTTGTCGTTAACTACCTGGGTGTCTGATAACAAGAGTGACATGGGGGTTCAGTTAGGAGCTTCACTCTGAGCTCTGAGTTCAAACCTGATGTTTTAGAGACAACTGGTTAAAAAATGTTGGAAGTTTTCTTAACTGCAGGATTTCCTAGGATCCATCATATGCTCGTATGCATTTTGAATTTCCTCCCAAGAAGACTCTAAATCACTAGCTGTCGCCGAGTCAGTTCCAACTCGTGGTGACACCATGAGTGTCACAGTAGAACTGTGCTCTACAAGGCGTTAAAGCCTAATTTCTTGGAAGTAGACCATCAAGCTTCCTTCCACGGCATCTCTGAGTGGACCTGAACCTCCAATCTTGCAGTTAACAGCTGAGCGTGTTAACCATGCCAGCACCCAGGGCCTCCATGCATTTTTATAGGGTCTGGCTGCTTTTTTGCTCAACACCATGCTCATGGGATTCACCCGCGCTTTTGCACGTAGTTGTACACTGTTCATGGTCACTGCTGTGTAGCATTCTGCTGGGCAAAATACTATACTTCACTTAGCCATTCTACTGCTGATGGGCACGTGCAGTTTGAGCTGATATGAATGGTGCTGCTGTAAACATTTCAATACACACAGAGACTTGATTTTACATGTGGAATGGCAGAGGAGGGAGAGCCGAAGTAGAACTCACACCCAAAAGCCACTTCTAGGGCAGACTCTTACTTCCCAGCTAAGGGAGAATGCTGGGAGACAAGTGTGGCTTGAGAGACAGAAGAGACAAGGAAGGGTGAGTCATGATATACAGTCAGTGATCCAAAGAGCTTTGCTGTGACCCATGCTGATCTTGTGAACTCTGACACTCAAGAGAGATGGAATCCCTGGGCAAAGCACAAATAACAGCTCTGGAGAGAATGTCTTCCAGGTAATAAACCCAAAGTGCAGCTGCAGGTGTCCCCCAGTCACACCACACATTCTCCACACACTGCTGGTTGTAGGGTACTTAATAATAATAATCAGAAAGGAACCAACATGGGGTCTCTCCATTTAAAAGCAGGACAGATGAAGAACACACAACACAAGAAGAATCACTCAGAGAACTGCATAACAACTTCAGACAAGTGGTTCTCCATAGACTCAAGGAAATTATAGTTATAATTGTTTAAAAACTGTTAGAGATGAGACGTAAAAGAAGAGACCCAGAAGTTTACAAGAGAATTTATTTGACAACAGAAGGATAAAGAGGAGCTAGCAGAGCTCAAGAAAAAAATGGGAAAGAAAAATAAAAACATCACAAGAATTTTTAAAATGCTATATTAAAAGCAATAAATAAATAGAAAAAAGCACAGCATAAACAACTAGAGATGTAGTGGACAGGCTTGAGGAAATCTCACAAAAATAAATGGAGAATAATAGTAAGACAAAATGACAGAGATGGGAGACAAAAGGGGATATAACATACATATAATTGGGGTGCTTCTGGAAGAAAACAGAATAAATGGAATAGGGGAAAAAAAACATCAAATACATAATGGAAAACTCCCTGAGAGAAACAAAGACTGGATTCTACAGATTGAACAGGCATATTATGTCATGGGAAAACCTGATAGAGTGATTAACCCCTAGACACACCCTGAAAAAGTTATTAACCTTTAAGGAAAAAGGAAGAATGTATAACTAGGGGGAACAGAGAAATGGGTTGGGGAGAATCAGATTTCCCCATAACAGCACAATTCCAGAAAACAGTGGAGCATGCCTACAGAGTTCTGAGAAAAAGAAATCATGACACAAGAATTTCATACCTATTAAAACTATCCTTTAAATATAAATGTAACAAACAAACAAAAAAAACACCAAAAACCAAACTCATTGCTGTCGAGTCAGTCCCGACTCATACCGACCTCTCCTTGGGTTTCTGAGGCAGTAATATCTATGGAAATTACCCAATCTTCCTTCTGAAGAGTGGCTGGTGGGTTTGAACCGCCAGCCTCCTGGTTAGCAGTCAAATGCCTTAGGCACTACACCACCAGAGCTCCCCATAAATGTAACAGACATTCTCAAACATAAACTTAGGGGCTTCTACATCCCTAAGTTCTTAACAAAATTACCTGATGTTGAAATCAGCCAACCAAAAGTTCAATCAAAATTAAGTTCCCCAATGGAAAAACCTAGTGAATATGAAACTAATATTTTAAAAAACTGTGCTATTTATAGTTATTGAATGTAAAAATCTTGACAATGTAAAAATAATAATAGCTATAATAACCTAACTAGCAAGAACTGGGAATGGGACAAAGGAGGCAGAAAATATGTTACTTTCCTCAACTTCCATAGTATGAAAATTGGTTCATTGTGTAGGTAAAACATTAATGATTTCATAACCGTTTAAAAGTTTTTCTTAACTTTAGCCTTTTAAAAATTGTTGTTGTCGTTACTTGCCATCGAGTCAGACCAGACTCATAGC